CAGAGAAACAGCCCCAAAACATAATGTTTCCACCTCTGTGCTTGACTGTAGGGATGGTGTTCTTAGGGTCATAGTCAGCATTTTTCTTCTTCCAAACATGGTGAGTTAATGCCAACGAGCTCAATTTTGGTCTCATCTGAACACAGCACTTTCTTCCAATTCTTCTCTGAATCATTTAGATGTTCATTGGCAACCTTCAGACAGGCCTGTACATGTGCCTTCTTGAGGAGGGGGACTTTGCGGGCGCTGCAGGATTTCAATCCATTGTGCTGTATTGTGTTACCAGTGGTTTGTTTGGTGGCTGTGATCCCAACTGCCTTGAGATCATTCACAAGCTCCTCCTGTGTAGTTTTTGGGCTGATCCCTCACTTTTCTCATGATCATCCTTACCCCATGAGGCAAAATCTTGCTTGGAGCTCCAGACCGAGGGCGATTGATGGTTATTTTTGTATTTCTTCCATTTGTGAATAATCGCTCCAACAGTTGTCTTCTTCTCACCAAGCTTCTTGCTGATGGTCTTGTAGCCCATTCCAGCCTTGTGCAGGTCTTCAGTCTTGTCCCTGATGTCCTTTGACAGCTATTTGGTCTTTCCCATGATGGTGAGGAAGAAAGAGATTCTGTGGACAGGTGTATTTATACACACAACGAGTTGTCATTAGCAGCATCTTCTTAAATTGAAAAGACTAATTTGTGTACCACATGAGCACATAGCCAGTCTGTGGGAGACAGAATTATTGTTGGTTGGTAGGGGATTAAATACTTTACTTTTACTCACTGAACTGAAATCAAATTATTTATAGCATTGGTATCATGTTTTTTTTCTGGATTTTTAGCTGATATTCTGTCTCTATCATTTAAAATACACCTATGATAAAAAATTATAGACCCTTTGTTTCTTTGTAAGTGTGAAAACTTACAAAATCTGCAAGGGATCAAATAATTATTTTCCCCACTGTATATTACTACTCTATGGGCCGCCCCCCTTCTTTTTCTTCTTTTTGAGTATCTGACTTTGAGTATGTGATCTATACCTGCTGAGGAGATTTAGGAGAAAGAGAGCTGAGTTAAACCCATGGTTGGGTGACCATCTTAAGTGATTTTTGACCTATATGACAGTATGGGTCTCATCTGAAGGTGAGCAGCCACTTTGCACAGACGGTGGAGCACATATGGTTTTTTACATCACAGTGGGGATGTCACTAACATGAAGATTGACACAGCATGGTTATCTATTTATATTGATGGACTATGTGGACATCTTTGCTTGAGTTATATTGATTTATTTGTGCACTTATCACCAACGTATTTAATTCACACTATCACTGAGATTTGGCAATTATTTATTGTGCATTTTTGATTTTATTTGATATGTTACACACCATATTATTGACATATGCAAATTATGTTGAGTTAAGATTTGCAGCACTGGGGATAAGGTAACAAATGTACACAGTTTTTATATTTATGTGTGTGAGATTGCTCTTTACCACATTTTTTGTTTATTTGATTCACAGTGAAATATCACACAGCTAGGTGTTAGCAGCATTCTCTTGATTTTGTTTTTTTTTTATATACTCTTTATAATTTGCTTTTCAAAAATTGTATGCAGCCATCTTTTTCATGCGCTGAGGTGTGTTGAGAGCCCATTTAGCACCAAAAATTGTGGATGAACCCCCTGCACATTGCAACGCACCCTTTCTAGCAAACGTTTAATAAAAAAAAAAAGAAATTTTAGTTCACATTCATTACAATACATGTTTAAGCTGGTGAACTGCATTACAGTAATCCCTCTCTCTAGCCAGTTTCCATTCTACTCTCCAAAACGCAAATGCTTCAGTGGATTTACAAGGGGTGACAATATAATTCCCGGAATGTCTCAGCATGGCACTATGGTGGTAAGTCACACAGCCATTCGCACTCTGGCGTGTTCTGACATGTTCTAACCAGCAGGCTGAATGAAAAAACGGAATGGTCGCCATACTAACTATGGGATGCTAGTGCAGTAATCTCTCCTGCTCATCTATCACACTGATCGGTACTCACAACCATTGGCTGCCAGTGCTGATCGGTTCATGGTTGGATGCTGGTTCTCCAGCATGTCCCTTTGTCAAAAGCCAGTCATTGGACTGTCTTCTGTCAGACAGACAGCTGTACACACTGTCTGAAAGTCAGTCGGCCCCTGCTAAACTGGACAACATTCTTATCATGTGTACCCAGTATTAGGCTAATATGGTGGCTGGAAGGGATGCACAGCACAAATTATTCCACATGTCACCTTTAGAGGGCAGTGCCGCTGTCAAATGTGATCCTTTCAAGTGAAGGGAGCTACACCACAACTGCCCTGAAACTGTGTGTGAATGCACAGGGTTGTGGGGTGGTGCTGCAGTAATTTCAAGGGTTAAAAGAGGCATCCAGGAGAACATAGCTCCTCACAGGAGTCATCTGCCCTCTGAAAAGTGATCCACTGTGGATTGCTTTTCAGAGGGGCAGCAATGACCGCTGCAAGTGTTCACACTAGCAGTTTGGGGGGAGGTAAAACCCTTTAGCTGAGCTACTCTTTTACACCCCCCCAATTTTCTACCCCCTTTAAGTGGAGAAGCAGTGGCTGGGGGTGTACATATGCTGTGGTAGGAATAATGCCTCCTGTTGCTTTTGGATGGCATAGCGGCCGTTGAACACAACCCATTCAAGTGAATGAGATGGTCTGCCGAGTGCTCAACAAGTGCACGCTAGTGCAGTGTTTGAGGCAGTGAGGAGGTGATACAATGCCTACTCACGCCTGTCAAATGCTTTCTAAGACGGCATTCACACCATCGCATTGCAGGAACGCACACAGAATCTCGCATTTCTGCACGCGTTCCTGGGAATGCCCCAAGAAAGTGCCAAAACATTGTAAACATGAGTGAGGATCACAGCAAAAAAAGAGGTACTTTGGCTTCTTTCACATGGGTGTTCCGTATGTCCATTTTTCATCTGTCTGTTTACGGATGAAAAACAGACATCCATGTATTTCTATGGACTAGCGGATGTAAACGGATAATCATCCATTTACATACATCCAGTAATGTCTGCATCTGTTAATATCCGTTGTTTTGAACGGAAGAAATCCCTATTTTTATTCAGCAAAAAACCCCGGAATGGACGAAAAACGGATGTCAACAGATTGTATGCAGCCCGGCAGGTCAGGAAAGGGGGGGGGGAACGAGCAAGCACCCCCGCTCCTGAAACATACCAGGCCACATGAGCTCAACATGGGGGGGTGCTTTGGGGTGAGGGGCTCCCCCCCCAAAGCACCTTGTCCCCATGTTGATGGTGACAAGGGCCACTTCCCCACAACCCTGGGCTGTGGTTGTGGGGGTCTGAGGGCAGGGGGCTTATCAGAATCGGGAAGCTCCCTGATCCTGCCCCCCCCTATGTGAATGAGTATGGGGTTCATGGTACCGCTACCCATTCACAAAAAATGTGTTAGCGGTACCATGTACGCCATACTCAATCACATGGGGGGAGCGGGATCTGGGGGCCCCCTGTATAAAGGGGGCTTCAAGATTTTGATAAGCCCGCACCCACAGACCCCCACAACCACAGCCCAGGGTTGTGGGGAAGAGGCCCTTATCCCCATCAACTTGGGGACAAGGTGCTTTGGGAGGCAACCCCCATGCCCCAAAGCATCCCCCCCATGTTGAGGGCATGTGGCTTGGTATTGTTCAGGAGGGGGGGGGGGCGCTCGCTCGTCCCCCCCTTTCCTGACCTGCCAGGGCTGCATGCTTGGATAAGGGTCTGCTATGGACTTTGGGGGGGACCCCATGCCATTTTTTTAAATTTTGGCATGGGGGTGCCCCACAAAATCCAAACCAGATCCGAAGGGCTTGGTATGGATGGAGGGGGGGACCCCATGCCATTTTTTAAATTAATTTTTAATTGCCGAAAATATTTTTTTTTCACATTCAGCTGTCAGTGGGGAGCCCCGCTGACAGATAATGACGTATAGGTTATTAGGGACTCGGCAGCCACCCATTTCTTAACAACCCATGACAGTACTGACAGATACAGTACATACCACATGCCTGAACCACTACTTAATTACTGCATGCATTTCATTATTTATTTCCTTTTGTGAATTGACTTCAGATGTCTTGCAAATCACACTTCAAAGTCGGGCTTGATGTGATCGGGGTACTAACGGAACAAAAATGAATGTAAACATGAAAAATGGATCAAAAAACGGATGTAAACGCACCTGTTTTTTCTTTGAAAAAATGTGACTGAACTGATGAAAAAAAAACGGAACGCCCATGTGAAGGACCCTTTGGTACATTTGCTGCGCTTAGGGCAGCCCATAAAAGTGAATAGGCTACCCTATGCTGTCAGGTTGCAAACACACAAAAAAGTATGAAAAAAAAATCACCTGTCACGTAGGTGTGAATAGGCTCTGAAGAGTGATCCACATTTGGATCAAAGCTAGTGTGAATGAGCCTTTAGGCTAGGTTCACACCCAGCATTTTATGAATGCACTTTTTTTTCATGCTACAGGCATAGGGCAGCCAATTCATATCAATGGGCCACCCTGAACATGACAAACGGGTCAAAGAAGCTCATATACCTTTTTGAGTGTTGAGCTTTGCACATTTTTTACTCTGGCATTTTGATGTGTGCCAAATCGCACCTCTACTTTCTGCATCTGGGGGCTGCCATCAGGGCTGCTGATAAGGGGGTACCCCCGGCCCTCCTTTAGGGGGCCCGGCCCTATCAGCTGCAGAGGGAGGCCCGGGCAGCTGACAACCCCATCTACAGCTGCTAAATTCCATTGTTAGCCTCCTGTCATTCTGTCACACAGTGGCTCAGTGTTGTGATGTTAGAAGCTCCTGCTCTGCTTCACAAGTTTGACACTTTCAACTTTCCTTCTGTTTATAGTTGATTGCAACTTTGTTTCTCTCCTCTCCCCCAGACTGCTGATCCCTTTCTGTTCACTGATCAACTCTTTTTATTTAACTATTTATTTACTGATCTGGTTAATGTGTCCCATTTCCTATCACCTACAGCTCAGATTTCACATTAGTATAAGATTCCTGATTGTATCTCACCACCAGGGGCGGACTGACCATTTGGAAACTCGGGCTCCGCCCAAGGGCCCGGGGTCAGTAGGGGGCCCCATGAGATGCCCCTGGTACCTTTTTCATAGGCTTTTTTGAGTTTGGTCTGCTGAACGCAAGTCTTCTGCGTTCAAAAAAGCGACTGTAAACTCAAATGCATATAAACAACTGTAAACGAAGATGTGTACATGGACACATAAGAAAACATTAGTGAGTTCAGGGGCTGCTGAAATATAACACTGAACAGCCCCTAAACGTGAGTTTATCAGCTGCAGCGTACATGACCCCTTAGGGCCAGTTCACACTGCATATGTTTCATTTGCTTTTTTCTCCATCCAAAACACATAGAAAGTAGGTTATATGGTTGGCAATGTCATAGCTTACATCAGTGCTTGCAGTTCCAGTGCATTTCGGTTGCAGAAAAAAAAAGTAGAGCATGCTGCATTTTTTTCTGCACTGAACTGTACTGTAACGCGGCAAAACACATTAAAAATGCACTGGAACGCACATGTCCCTAATTAAATTGAAGAAAAAGAGAGGGAATAAAATGAACTGGAATGCCTAAAAAATGCATTGGAATGCATAAAAAACGTACAGGAACACGCTAAAAATGCGTCAAAAATGCATCCGGACCACATCTAGACTGCGTTTCTATAGTGTGAAGCAGCCCTTAGGACTTGGACATTTGTTCACACCAAAGATACAGCAAAGATACATAATGCCCTTTGCAGACGGGCACAGGTACCATGAATAGTTAATTGCACCTCCACACATCTAGTAAACACAGACGCATTCACAGCCACCAAAACGCATGGCACCACACTACTGTGCTGTTAAGTGCACCCAGGGGCGGACTGACAACTCATGGGGCCCCCAGGCAATAGGGGATCATGGGGCCCCTTTGTCCTTGCCCAAACTCAAAAAAGCCTATGAAAAAGGTACCAGGGGCATCTCATGGGGCCTCCTACTGACCCCAGGCCCTTGGGCCGTGCCCGTGTTTCCAAATGGTCAGTCCGCCCCTGGGTGCAACACACTTTTAAAATAATATGCCTGCAGTATTTTTGCATGTTCCCACATATTAGGCAGCCCATTGAAATTAATTAGCTGAGGAAAAAAAAAGTAAAAAATGCTACATTCACGTAGGTCTTCTGGCCTGTACAGCATGAATGAGTGGGTTGTTCATGTGGCTGGAGCCACCTGTTACACTATGGGGACACAGCAGCTGTATGAACACAGGTTTTAATCTGACAGGTGTGAAGGTGTGGGGAAGTGGCCCTGAATGCTCACTGTCTGTGTTCAGGGCTGTACACCTGCACCCATATACCTGTCAAATTAGGACCTGCAGCATTTCCATAGTGTAACATAGGTTGCCTGCAAACGGCGATAGCCACAAAAACAGACCACTGATTCCCATTCTACAGGCCACAGCACCCATGTGAATGAGCCCCAAGACCTCCATTACACACACAGCTTTATTTATGAACTCAGTACAGTTTTATCATTTAGATTTCACAGGAATTTGGTTGGGATTGTGTCCATTAATAATGTTTTTAGTGTATTTTTACCACATATAATTTAGATATTTTCTCTGGCGGTGGGGGGGGGGCTGTCAGGTAGGCTGTATGGGGCCCCGTGATATCTAACAGCGGCCCTGGCTGTCATTAACAGTGAATGGAACTTTGTGTTCTATTTTTCACTTTTATTCACACCCGAGTGTTCTGTGTGCATTTTTACACATGTTCATGGAACGCGTGCAATAACGTGTGCCTTTGTGCGCATTCATGGACTGCTGAGGTGTGAAGGCAGACTAAATGTGAAAAACACAAAAACTGAAAAGGTGGCGATGCATCATAACAACGCACATCCGCCACTCGCCCTGCGCTCTTCCAACGAATGGATCTCCCCAATGCAGGAAAACGAGCTCTGCAGAAAGATATGATGCATTGGAGGAAGAGAATTCTATGACAGGTGATCACAGCTCCCACACATGGCAATGACAGGGGAAGCGATCATGACTGGGCTTGCTGAGTCTCCATTCCTCTCACTGTGGTGTGTCACCCCCGGGGTAAGGAGTTGGACCCCCCCCCCCCCCGCACTCATTATTCCCCCCACCCCTCCCCCCATCAATGTTATTAAACAAACATCAGGACAGGAATAAGGCTAAAAATAGCCCTGGAGCTGCCAGTTTGACAGAAGGCGAAGGTAGGCGTGGCCCTACCACCTGGAGCTCCCGATTGACGTCCCTCCCTACCAATGGCCGTTGACGCCCTTCTGGCCAATGGGCATGAGCTGCCTGGTGACAGGCCAGGAAGGGGGCGGGACTTCCGTTGTCAAGGCAAATGTCCGGAGCTGGCTGTGCGTGTGTTGGATAGAGAGGCGGAGGAGGAGGTGGCCGGCGGCTGTACCCGTGTATCCCGAACAGGTAATGGAGGGGGGATGGGGGCCCCTGGGGCTCTGTGTGTGCTGGGGGGTGTCATGGCTGCTGGTCACTTGTCATTGGCAGTCAGTGAGCAGACAATGGGCTGTGTGATGGAGACCGATCTTCTCCTCCAGGTGTGAGCACAGCAGCCGTGCAGTGTGTGCGCTGTGTCTATGGAGCTGTGTGCTCTGGGCTCATCTCCCTGGAGATCCAGGTGTGCACAGCTCAGCCTTTGTCTGTATATTGTGTGTGCATTGCCTGGTGTCAGGGCCCATACTGGGCTCTGCTCGGAGGTCTGATGTGCGAGACAGCACTGCCATCACTTCTTCCTGAGATGCTTCATCTAAAATGGGGGGGATTACTAATATAGACCTTCACTCCTGGCTAGGCTTCATCCTCCACCTCCACGGAGGTAGAGACCTCCCCGACCTCCACCGGAGGTAGAGACCTCCCCGACCTCCACCGGAGGTAGAGACCTCCCCGACCTCCACCGGAGGTAGAGACCTCCCCGACCTCCACCGGAGGTAGAGACCTCCCCGACCTCCACCGGAGGTAGAGACCTCCCCGACCTCCACCGGAGGTAGAGACCTCCCCGACCTCCACCGGAGGTAGAGACCTCCCCGACCTCCACCGGAGGTAGAGACCTCCCCGACCTCCACCGGAGGTAGCGACCTCCCCGACCGCCACCCTCACCGGAGGGTAGAGACCTCCCCGACCCGCCACCCCACCGGAGGTAGAGACCTCCCCGACCGCCACCCTCACCGGAGGTAGAGACCTCCCCGACCGCCACCCTCACCGGAGGTAGAGACCTCCCCGACCGCCACCCTCACCGGAGGTAGAGACCTCCCCGACCTCCACCGGAGGTAGAGACCTCCCCGACCTCCACCGGAGGTAGAGACCTCCCCGACCTCCCCCGGAGGTAGAGACCTCCCCGACCTCCCCCGGAGGTAGAGACCTCCCCGACCTCCCCCGGAGGTAGAGACCTCCCCGACCTCCCCCCGGAGGTAGAGACCTCCCCGACCTCCCCCGGAGGTAGAGACCTCCCCGACCTCCCCCGGAGGTAGAGACCTCCCCGACCTCCCCCGGAGGTAGCGACCTCCCCGACCGCCACCCTAGAGGTACGACCTCCCCGACCGACGCCACCCTCACCGGGGTAGCGGGGTCCCCGACCGCCACCCTACCGGAGGTAGCGACCTCCCCGACCGACCGCCACCTTCTTTAGGGTATGGGGTAGAATAGACGTACACAACGCCACCTTCTTTAGGGGTATGGGGTAGAATAGACGTACCCAACCGCTACCTTCTTTAGGCGTATGGGGTAGAATAGACGTACCCAACCGCCACCTTCTTTAGGCGTATGGGGTAGAATAGACGTACCCAACCGCCACCTTCTTTAGGGGTATGGGGTAGAATAGACGTACCCAACCGCCACCTTCTTTAGGGGTATGGGGTAGAATAGACGTACCCAACCGCCACCTTCTTTAGGGGTATGGGGTAGAATAGACGTACCCAACCGCCACCTTCTTTAGGGGTATGGGGTAGAATAGACGTACCCAACCGCCACCTTCTTTAGGCGTATGGGGTAGAATAGACGTACCCAACCGCCACCTTCTTTAGGGTATGGGGTAGAATAGACGTACCCAACCGCCACCTTCTTTAGGGGTATGGGGTAGAATAGACGTACCCAACCGCCACCTTCTTTAGGGGTATGGGGTAGAATAGACGTACCCAACCGCCACCTTCTTTAGGGGTATGGGGTAGAATAGACGTACACAACCACCACTTTCATCTGGAGTATGGGAAGAGCAGATATACTCAACCAATATGTTCTGCAGGGTAGGGGCTAAATAGACATACCCAGCCACCAGCTTCTGCCAGGGTATGGACAAAGTAGAGATCCCCACAACCTTCTTAAGTGGCCTGAACAGAATAGACATACCCAACCACCATTTTCTTCAGGGAAAGAAATCTCAGAAGCTGTAACTTGTTTATGAAATTCTAAAATTGTTTTAATTCTATAGCTTTTATTAAAAGAATACCTGGTGATCCTACTGTAAAGATCCTAGTTCAAGCACTTCTTGTGGTGACAACTGTCTCACAATTGTGCTCATGTGTTGTCACTTTTCAAATTCTCCCCTGAAGTAGACTACAGGCTGCCATGCCAACACACATTGTGCTGGCATTGTTCACAATTGTAGATAGGAGGTGGTGAAAAAGGCTGGAGGAGATCAGCAAGTGTGAGATGTAACCATACATCAAAAGAAAAATGGTGAAAACCGTATTTTATGTAAAAACATAAACAAACAGAAGTTGTAGTTGTTTATGATACAAGGTACTTTAACAAAGTATGTTGTCTATCAAATGCTTAGATCTACTTTTTAAAGTGTTACTAAACCCACAACAGTAAAATCAGTCTGTATATGCAGTAAAGCATGCTTGTTATACTCACTGTGGATCTAAGGGGTTAATCCTCTGCATTGTGTAAACGCATTGTTTGAGCCTGTCTTCTCTGATCCTCCCCTTCTTCCAGTGTCCTCCTCTTATCTCCTGTTAAGACATATCGTGTGGAGACAGTCTGCACATGCTCAGTTTGGTGTGTATTGCTAGTGTTTTTTTTTTTTTTTTTTTTTTTTAATGGGGGAGTGCATGTGATGAGCACAGGGCCAGTTAGCATTGTCCAGACAGAGGTTAAGGGTTCTGCATTCTCCCAGAGCAGAATGAAAACTCCTCCTACAAGCTTTAACCAGTGCTCTGCTGGACACTGATAGAAGTCACAAGACTGCTCTGTGAGAGACCAGATAGAGTAGATGCAGGGTCCTGGGTTTAGTAACACTTTAATGGCTTCATGTTTACATTTTATATTGTCTTGAATAAATAACAGTCTTATAGGTATCTTGTATAGATCTGTACACGGTTTTTGTATATATTTAGTGTTTTGGTGTATTATCTTCCTGTGTCATGCTTGTAACTACAGTTGATTTGTGAACCTAGAACAAACATCCAATCTGAGTCCATTATTAATGCTAGTTTTCTGTTTATTCTGAAAACACTGGGATGGATCAAGGCAATGTACAGACATCTTTGCTGTATAAATGAATACAGTTGGTGAAAGGTTGAAACAATAGCCTATTGTATGGCCATTGTCCTTGATCTAAGACTGCATTCACTTTTATAGTGTTTTGTCAATGTGTGCAAAGGCATGTTTTTGCATGTTGTCCCACCACATGCATCGGCCGGCCCATTCATTTCAGTGGGCTTTCTTACATAGCTCCTGTACCTTTTTTGAGCTTTGAGCATTTTTTTTAACTTTGTGTTTTTATTGCCTTTTTGAGGTGAAGTTAACAATGAATGTTACTGCAAGTGTGAATGCAGCTTTACCTTGGTGTACAGAAATGTGATTGCTATGGGTTAGTGCATCCTCAACAGCATGGATAGTGTTTGCAACCCCTTGGGTTTTGTACACACGTAATACACAAAAAAAGGTTTTCTCTTCATGTAATTGCCTACAATGTTTTTCATATGGTGAGTTTTTGGATAATCACTTGTGCCTTGATGTCCTTTTATTATGACATTTGTTCTTTACATTATTGTGTTGTGGTACTATGATATG